AAAGGAAAGGAAAGGAAAGGAAAGGAAAGGAAAGGAAAGGAAAGGAAGAAAAAAATTCTGGATCTTTGTTTTTATATTCAAAAACTGCAGGGCAACTACAATCTGCCCAACAATGGAAAAGTTTAATATGGCCCAGAATGGAAGATTGGCTGAGAAGATGATGGAACTGGAAAACCAAATAGATATTCATGGTTGATTGAAAACCATGTTTCCATAATCTGAGAATCGCTATAAATATTTAATTATTATTCAATTGGAATTTAATTATTAATTGGAATTTAGAAATGTGGCAACTAGCGAGTCTTTGTCATTACTCTAATGTAAAACTGATTTCACTTTTTTTAGGACTGGAAAGCTATGTAAAAATCATTCAGGTAGAGACTGTTAATGGAAGAATAAGAGGTCATTGCACTGAGGAACTCTTTTATCTCAACCAATATGTAAATCAAGGCACATGTTCCTCTTTTGAGGAGCCACTTGGTTGTCCTTTTAAAGCTACACCCTGCAACACAAAGTTTGTGCACTTTCCCAAATTGTTTCTTGTCAATTCCCTTCCATTCATTACAGGGAACAAAAATGATTCTGTGGCTAAACTTGGTTTCCTTATTAGCAGTTCTCCACAGTAATTATTTCCTCATTATTCATTCAACTTGTTCCTGTGTACAGGAGAGCTTATTGATATACATTTCTTTGTAGTTGTCAAATCTGAGGTCCAGCTGGTGGAGTCTGGAGGGGATGTGAGAAGAACTGGAGAGTCCCTCCATCTCTCCTGCCAAGCCTCTGGATTCACCTATGTCAATTATTGGATGAACTGGGTGAGACAGGCTCCTGGCAAAGGACTGGAATGGGTTGCAAGGATAGCTTCATCTAGCATTTACTACTCAGACAAAATCAAGGGCCGCTTCACTGTCTCCAGGGATGATGCCAAAAGCCAGCTACATCTGCAGATGAACAACCTGAAACCAGAGGATACTGCAGTCTATTACTGTGCAAGAGACACAGTGAGAGGAATTGAATCTGAAGCCTATCAAGAACTTTCTCTGCCTCTGAGTAGCTTTCCAAGTTGATTCAGTCATATACATTTGCATTAGCATACTAGAACTGAGAAAAGTCTGACAAATCTCTATCACAATAAGACAGATCTTGGAATACATTCACCAAACTGTCTTGGAATAAGCCATGGGGAAACCTATTAGCATTTCATTGCTGGGCAAGTAGGAAACTTCCTGGAAATAGAACAAACCGAAATTTAAACAATAAGAACAAAATAATAATAATTTTCCTAACAGGGAGAAATGTGGATTTCAAGCTTGGTTTCTTCATTCTTTTATTATTTTGAAATTCAGTCCCCAATCATTCTTTCCATATCACCAACTCTCCATTTTTAATGCTTCTTTTTCATTAGTTCTCCATTAATTTATCCATAGTCTGCTTTGTTTCTCTCAATATTGCCAAGTCCCTTCAGTTTCCTTCTTTTTTATCTGTTGCTTCATTTTGCCACAGTCGCCCTATAACCATTTGCAGATCTTTGTATTTTGTTATCTTCTTTATTTATTTATTTGCAATTTTTGACAATGGTATGCTTAAAAATGAAGCATAGAAGAGGAATGACTAAAAATGCTGATAGAGCTTGAAGAAATGACTAAAATAATACTTTTGATTAAAACCCTTTCTAAAAAAATATGTGCCCTTTTTTGCAATCATAAAGAATTAGTATTGTAAATGCACTTATATTTGCTGCACAAGTAATCACCAGCTTCTTTTTTTCTATTTCTTTTCATTCTCCTTCCTTCCTTCCTTCCTTCCTTCCTCCCTCCCTCCCTCCCTCCCTCCCTCCCTCCCTCCCTCCCTCCCTCCCT